AGGCATTTGCGGACAAAATTGGTACCTTCCTCAAAACTGACAAGGAAAGGAGTTGGTCGAAGTGGCCATTTAAGACAATACACAAATGAGACGTGAGGCGTCACACGGAGAGCATCGATGGCCCAGCGGATAGTATGTCGCGCTCAAGTATGCGAGGCGAGAGGTTCGAATCCACCCTTGGTTCGTCGTTTTGCATTTCCTCAAAAATGCCTCCTGCACTTCCGAAAACCACTTCTGCGAGGCTAGGAGACCTGATTCTACCAAGAAATTTTATTTCTGATGTGATAGAGCCATTTTGGAACACTCTTAATGGGAAGTTCTGATTGTTGGTTCCGGCGACATTATTCGTTCCGTCGTGTTGTGAGGCCAAACTAATTCCAGATGGCATGGGAGTCAAAAGTGTATGTCGTGGTTGTTATCAGGATCGTCAGTAACCAACAAGGACTAAGATTTAGCGAGGAACCTCCACTGCTCACAGAACTTTGAATCGGCGATAGTGCTAGCAACCTATATTTCGTGAGAACGTCCTGTAGGCATTCTGCCCCTCCAGAATGCGTACAGGACGTTTTCACGAAATATAACTGCAGTATTGATTTCCAGGGCACTGAAGCACCTCTAATTTCAGATTCCAGCCAATTTGAGCAATTTGGAGCACCTCATATACATGCTGCCTATGGTGACCCCTCTGTATCGAAAACAGGTCGAAATCTTAAATTTACTTGAAAACTTGTCTCTAGGGCTAATTTGAGCCCCAGACCACGAGTATCACACTCGTTCGGCGTAAAAAGGACGTTGCAGGTTCCTGCACACCCTGCCCCTCCAGAATGCGTACAGGACGTTTTCACGAAATATAACTGCAGTATTGATTTCCAGGGCACTGAAGCACCTCTTATTTCAGATTCCAGCCAATTTGAGCAATTTGGAGCACCTCATATACATGCTGGAAATGGGTGTGACCTGGTCAAAAATCCTGCATAACTTTGTCCAGGAAATCGTTTAGCAGATACGGAGGGAAGATTTGTAATTAGCGTCCAAGGGCCCATCGGGCAGTATACGTCTCATTTCGAATGGCCACTTCGACCAACCATCCTTTCCTTGTGAGTTCTTGAGATGAGCGGCGCTTACTGCGAAAATTTCATAACTATGACCCGGTGTTGGTAAAAAATCGTGGAAGAAGATTAACATCTGGCGAGAGTTGAACGTTCCTGTGGTGTACTGTATCCAACCCACAGTGCGCAGAGCGTGCTCTCAATCATAAGGTTCTTATTTTTTAGTGACTTCTAATGCGGCTGTACTTTAAAAGGCAAACCCCACGATTGCATTTTACGGGCAGTGGCGTTCATTCACAAAACTATAGTCGCTAAATGATTCTCTAGGGAAGTGAAAAACTAAAAAATCGTGGAGGACGCCCTGTAAGGTGATGGCAACACCTATGAACGAGTTCTTTGGAGCTGCTCGTTTCATGCCAGCAAAGCGATATCCTGCCGCCTCTGGCTTGCTAATCGTTCCTCTACGTCGTCCATTGCTAATACCTCATAACAGTGAAAAAATCGGTGCAAAAATGAATTCGTGACAGAACTCGTCTCTGCGTTTCGGTGGGCGGCACATCTAAGGAGGCTATTATGAGAGCCACAGCGATATTGCCACCAGGGCATGCCATTGCCTTGTGATCATTTCCTGAAAAATATTACCCCCCCCTAATTGCATTCTTCAAGTACGACCCCCCTCCCATGTTACCTCTTCCCAAGATTTTCCCAGCTCCTACCATTTTGTCTATTTTTCCCGAAAAATTTCTGGTTTTTTTACAAAATTTTGCTGTCGAGCGGGCGGGGGGGGGAAGGTCGCAGTACCTACGTATGTCCCAAGCACGTCCAGCACTCTGGCGCTAGTGTAGAATACTGACAATATGTACGAGGAAGGGGCGATAATAGAAGCTACAGTCATAGGCCCGAGGATTCCATTCCTCAGGCCTTCCCCCCCTATCCGCATGTACAACCGAGAGTAGCCACTAATCTTTATTAGATGCAACCCCAATGAAGGGGTAAGTCAGAATACAGTAGAAACATGCTGGCAGCGACGATACACAGGCTGGCGGCCTCATCCAGTCGAGCGAGTGGCGGCAGGCGAAGACGAGCCCGTATGAGTCACGACCGCTCCTTATATCTCCGACGCGCACGTGGGCGAATCCTGCAATGATAAAGCTCAACGAACGTCGCTGTTCGGCTAAGTGACTAAGTTTCCGAGTACCGATCAGCCCCGAGGCTTACACCTCCCCAACTTACCCAAAAACGTCCGTCCTCGGACGTTGTAAGCGCCCGGAGGGGGGATCATCGGACTTCGTCACCGCCTGCAGTGGACGTCGCCGCCTACACTGGACACCGCCGCCTTGGTCGATTCCTACATTGCCATCCGCTCAATACATTCCTACTTATAACTGTAACTTCTGTGAATAAACTTCTTTCTATCATCCGTGCCCATCCCAGAGCAAGCAAGTAGTTGCCAGTCGCATAGATAAAGGCCGAAACTCCACTCTTCGGCCTTACATGGGGGCCGAACTGACTTGCGGCTAAAGCGACTACTTCATTTGCTGGGCGTGAGTGGGCGGACACAGCAGCTGGATCGTTCCTGGTCTATTGGTCAAGTAGCCATTGAGAAGTGGGCCAGGACATCCAAAGAGAAGCAGGGTGTTCGGAAGCAGGAAAGAACATCTTGTTCTAGATAGCCCTCGCACACCGGAAGAGGGTGTAAGAGGTTCGGAAAGGTGAATGTGTTCAGAGAGAAGGACACATTATCAGGGCGATAAGGCATCGCAAAGAATGGTCGTCGTCAGGGAACGACAGAGTTCAACCACAAGCAGGATGAGTAACGATGATGTGCAGGGGATCTTGAAGGAGGAACAGCGGGACATACCTAAAGAGATTAGCAGCTCCAAAGACGATGGAACGTATCGGCAGGAAAGCTATCTTACGTGCATGCAGATAGTACGTGAAGCGAAGGAAAGGGCAAAAACGATGTCAGACAATGCCTGAGTAGCTAAGCAAGCTAAAACCGATTGAGAAAAAGATTGGGATCTAGTGAGTGAAGCGGTAGGGAAACTAGCAAGAGTAGCGGAACAGTATCCCGTAGTGTCAGAAGTGTTATTGAGAGAAATGGCGGTTACGCTCACCCAAAGACGAATAGCAACAGAAAACGAATGGAGAGACTATATCGACACTGTAGAAAAAGGTGGAGAGCTCGTGAGTGAGCTATATGATCTTCTATAGACTGACTTTCTCAGCTTAAGCGTACCATAGAGTTGAGATGCCGTGAGCCCGTCTGAAAGGACAGGCCCGAAATGCGGTGCGATCGACAACGGTCGGCAAGGCAAGCAGTGGACGAAGCTAGGCAAAAGCCATGCTTGCAAGAGAGACCCTGTACGCCGGTGCACGAGCGCATGGAGCGAGCCCATGGTCAAGAGCTCCTCTGAGAGAAGATGCAGAGGTGGTGGCCAATACACATTTGTTGAACTACCTGAAGTCCATGATATGTGCTGACCCGGGAGTATTCAAAGGGGTCAAAGGTGAAGACTTCCAGGAGTTTCTGAGAAAATTCAGAAGACAATACGAGACAGTGATTTCGTGCGAAGAAACACTTTTAGAGATCTTGTCAGATGATCATCTAGCCGGGAGGGCTAAAAATGTGTTTGCTTCGCTACCACGAGCAGTAAGGGATTGCGGATTTGAGGCAGTTACGCAGGAGCCAAGTTGATGGCATATGATTCCACAGCAGGCAGAATGAGAACGCTGACCGAGTCAAAAAATTTGAGGATGAGGCCAGGTCAAGATGCGTCCGAGTTTTGCGTTGTCTTAGAGCGCGTTCAGAACATGACCCCCTCCCGGGGTAATTTCAGACACAGTAGCGCGATCGCGCGATCCGGATCGCGCGATCGCGCTACTGTGGGTGAAATTACACCGGGAGGGGGTCATGTTCGTTCATGTTTATTGTTCCTGTTCTTTTTTCCCTTTTCCTTCTTTCTTCCTTTGTGTACATAACGCCCTCCTAATTTTAAGGAACGCTTCGAAATATCTTTGAGTTATTTATTATTTCCTATGTAAAATAGTACTAAATATACAATATGCTAATTATTATGCTGAATTTTGCATCTGAGTACGTTCAAGCAAAGTATTGAACATCTTGTTCCAAAGTAAGACACGCAGAACTTTCAACAGCGGGTGATGTTGTTTCTCTCCATTCCCCCGATTTTGCCAGTTCTCCAGATATTCACTTTACTTTTGTCACATTGTGTTTGCTTTGTTTGTTCTGCCATCCTCCAGGTCTATACACAACCTTTCCTTTCGAAGGTTTCTGCAAACTTCAATATTGCGAATTGAACACGGGATAAAAGACATCAAAAAAGGTCGATTTACCTTTATATCGTTTTTGGAACTGCCTATTGGAGGCAGGATACAGTATCGCGATGTGTGATGGTGATATTAGTACGACTCCCTTCCCAAACTTTGTTGTTGGTTTGTCGAGTTGAGTTGAACATGAACGAACATGATCCCCTCCCGGTGTAATTTCACCCACAGTAGCGCGTTCGCGCGATCCAGATCGCGCGATCGCGAAGTCTGAACGCGCTCTTAGAGAATGTAGGCAGACAGGCAAGCCCAGTGTGTACACTGGAAGACAGGTCGATGGAGTATGTCCAAATTCTACTCGACAATATAAGCGACTAGCCTGAACACTTCCAGTTATTTGGAGCGCGCACAAAGTAGAGCCTCGTCAGGCGTATGAGGAGGTAAAGCAGCTTGTCTAAGCATAGAGCAGTCAAGAATAATGGTAGGAGCGAATGAAAGACGCTCAATGGCGTGGAAAAGCAGGTGCGCACAGTACCAGTGGACTAGGCAACAAAGATCTGCAGTGGTTATGGGTGAGAGAGACCCTGATATCGAACGGCGGAGGGCGGGGGAAAAGATTAGGTATAACGCAGAAACCTCGCTCTCGCCACAGAAGCACAAGAAATGACTACTTCAGATCATAGACAGCAGAGGCAAGAAGAGGGTTACCCCGAGAAAATGCAGAGCAAGAAATGCTACCGTTGTGAAAGATTTGGGCATACGGCTCGAGAGTCCCCGGAAAAAGCGGTGAAAGTGAACCAAACATTCCAAAAGAAGTCCCCTAGTGAAGATACACAAACAAAGTTGTCGTGCATAATAGAGATCGTAGTATGAGTATGAAAGATCGACAAAAAAGGTCTGATCAGAGCGATCTCATTAGGAAACGGATAATGGTCCCTGTGAGGTCTTTAGAGATCGGTGTACAGCTCTTGTAGATACTTGTTCCATAATCAGCATTATCGCGTTGAAAGTTCTAGCGAAAGCACAAGATCGGGGATGGGATGTTGACTCGTTGAAGGTGGTGCCAAATTCAAGGCTCAAGCCAGTGTTTGATGCTTCCAACAACAGAATGGACTTCGTTGGCGCAGTTCATATAGAAGTTGAAATGGATAGTGAGAAATCCGAGGTGATTGCATTCCATATTAGTGCGGACAAGGAAGCAGATGCTATTATTGGAACGGATGCGTTGGAGAAGGTGGGGATTGACGTAGGTACTGTAAATAAACTAATAGACGACGAAGGAGACCCACGTATCTACTGGAGAAAATAAATAGGGAAAAAAAGAAAAGAAAAAGAAAAAAAAATTAGTTTCTATAAACAAGGTGGTAGTGTCTTCTAGCTACTGCCGTAGCCGGGCGATAGCCAAAACTGATGGTAGAATGGCAGCACAGAACACTAGTTCAAGGGGGTTGTACAGGAAAGACATGAATGTCAGAAAAGATGAAATTGATGGTAACAAACATCCAAGGGTAGGGAACCGGCTGTATGTTCCGACACTCAGAGAAGAAAACCGAAGGGTGGCGGTTGATTGGAGAGGGCCACCCAGAGCAAGTGAGGCAAAGAACACCCCCGTTTCATCAGAATTAGGGCAAGACACTGAGGCGATCCATAGGCAGCCAGGAATGTTTGGGCCTGCATCAGAAGGATTTCCCAACCAGCAGATCGATACAGAACATAGTAGATAGAGGTAATGAAAGCAGGAAACCTAAAATAAGGGTCTGTCAAGTAATGTAATGAAAGCAGGAAACCTAAAATAAGGGTCTGTCAAGTTCTCACTCATAGACAAGAGTATCGACAGCAAGATTACTGTATTACCCGTCTGAAAGCGAACGGGTTTGAGATCGTGGCCCCAAACGGTCGTCGAGGACGACAACTCCACGACAGGGAGGCATGTTGAGTAGGAAGCCATGAGGGAGGTGCATAGGGAGGTCGCACAGGTGAGCCCCCTACGTGAGATCTGTAGTTGGCGCGCCCCACAGGCAAGGTGGTCTTTTCGCGGGTCCCTCAGGCAAGATAGGGATGGGCCGCCGGGTATATAAGAGCTAGCCGTGAGACTCGAGGAGAGCTTTTCCTGCTCTTACTCGATTCTGGATCAGCGGACTTCGTCACCGCCTGCAGTGGATGTCGCCGCCTACACTGGACACCGCCGCCTTCGTCGATTTCTACATTGCCATCCGCTCAATACATTTCTACTTATTACTATAACTTCTGTAGATAAACTTCTTTCTAACATCCGTGTCCATCGCAGAGCAAGCAAGTAGTTGCCAGTCGCATACACAAAGGCCGGGACTCCACTCTTCGGCCTCACACTGCCAAGTCGATGCAACAGCACTTGGAACCAGCCTGTGAGGCGGATGATGGGTTTATCCTGGCGAATGGATGTCAAATATGGTCTAATGATTCGAAACCTTTGCTAAGCTCATAATAATGAAAACGCGATGGCACTGTGCGTTTAGAAAATTTCAGAATATTTTGAGAAGGCAAATCTTCATGCCGAAAATTTTCATGTTCATGGCAACTTTTTTCCAATGTCAAAAGTTCCAGTTTTCCCCCAAATCATTACAGTGAGCAGAACCCTGGTTGAAACTCTTTAAGGTATTTTACGAGAATGAGTCTAGCTTCCCACAGTGGGAAGAGCTTTCTTAAAGGCAACTGGCACGATGGTTCCCTACTCTGCCTAAAATGCTAGTAGGACGCTGTATAGTGGGGGAAAATAGCGAAAGAACGGAGTGAAACAGTCAAAATCCTGCGAAGAAAAGACCTCCGTTCTCAGTGAATTGTAAATCGATTTCGGACGAGTTTCCATTTTCCATTTTTTTCATCCATTTTACCAATCACCGTTACCAAAGATGCGGCTGCATATGTGTACCCGTGTATGCATGCAGTATCACGGCCGCTTCATACCAATCCCTTCGCTTCATAATTTGCTTAGCAAATGAAGCAGTACGAGCGTCAGGAACGGTCGTCCATTTGTGGGCGGGCGGGCGTGGTGGGCGTTTGGAACGTAAAGTTGTGGCTTGATAGGGCCCTTATGAGGGTACCTCCCTCGGGAAAACCGCTATGCAGTGCCCGCCCAGGGTCGCGCAATTCTATACTGCCAGGAGTTGATCCTAGTGGTCTTGGGGTATTTATCGTGCCAACCGAGGCCAAAAAATCGAGGCCAAAGTGAAAAGGATCAAAATTTTGCAGAAAAACGCAAAAGGGGTCTGGATAAGGAGCCAGAGCTTAGCGTGTTATAGCCTGAATGCGCGTCTATGAGTACTTCCCTTGCATGCGAAATGTTCAGAAAAAGATGTTGGAAGGTTTTAAAATTCGGAGTTGACTTCAGTTCGAAATCAGTGAATTCAAGATGGAAATGTTATATGTGGTTGAAAAGCATGGGCGCCTACAAGAATTATCTTTTTTAGAAGTACCCGTTTTTGCTGGCTTCTCCATTGCATATACTGCAGTATATCTTGAGACGCTTACAGGAGGCGTATACTGCCGGGGTTACACGCAAAAAGCCCTCTTACATGCATGGCAAAAAGCCATTAGTTTAGTCCCAAGAGTACCCGCGCTTTTTGTTGTCTCGTGATTTCTCTTCTTTTCTACTATGGTTTGCTTACAAGTCATAATACGCGAATAATACCACAAGCCTTTTTATTTTTTTTTGTTGAAAGTTGATTTCGATGAGAAAGTTCATTTGGATGACGTAGTAGTCACCCAAATCAGATTCCGCATCGGAATCAACTATTCCAAAAGTAAAAAAGGAACACAAAAAATGTTTGTGTAATAATTTATTTTCGTTATTATTTGTTTATAATTTCTTGTCGCAGTCTTCCCATTCTGATTCCAGTCAAGCCAAGAAGTGCAAAAATCTACTTTGTCTACCAAAACTTGCATGAAAACTTGTCTCAAGAAAGAAAGGTGAAAAATGTACGAGAAAGAATCGAAACACGGAGATTTGCCGCAAACGACAAAGAGGAGGTTTGGCGGTTGTTGCCCGTCGCGAACGCCCCGAACGGCAACTGAGTTTTTGGCGAAATGTCGAGCCGCTGATGGCCCATTTTCAAACCGGTCTAGACATTTATATGTTCATGTCAATGACTGCCAAAATGATGGTATTTTTCTCCAGCTTATCTGCTATAAAACCTTACATAAGAACCAAGTGGCCAGGCCCAGGCTGACAAAGACACCTAGTCTTCTTCAACGGAGCTTGGAAAATTACAACCAAGGTACACCATCGTCGATACTCCCTTATGAGCGCGATACACATACTATTAAAACGTTACCTAGAGGTGATTCTGTTCGTAGTTGGTCTCAATTGGATGGGGGGGGGGGGGAAATTGGAGTGACAAGTAATATGCCTCAACAGAGCCTGGGACCTTGCAACCGAAGTAGTCATCCCTGTGGTCCCCCCCTCCCTCATCTGCGCGATCAAAATGAAACTAGAAGATTGTTGTTGATTGTTGCGTTGTTCTGTTTGCAGCTGGCCTCATTTGCCTTTGGAACCTTTTCTTGATAGGCTTGGACATTGGTTTCTATGTTGGCGTCGATACTAGTAAAAGGATCATTATCTATAGAGAACAGTTTCATCGTAGCCAATTTTCTACTCTTAGGATTTTCCTGAGTCGGGCCTGTGGGTTTCCGTCTCCGTGATAGCTGCTGCCGATGAACGTTTCTCATTTGACCCCAAGAATTCCACCGCGCGGCACGCGCCATCCCTTCATTGATCTCGCCCAAACCAGTTTCAAATAGTTGCTCCCCATAGACATCGATCAACCCGTGCCCCACCTGTCTTCGCTCATAACTTTAAAGTTTCGCAGTGCATAAATGAGAGGGACGATGTCCTTCATAATAGGAGCACGAACAGGGAACAAGATTACTAGGATAACAAAGTTTCATCAAAGTTACGGCTGCTCAAGCTGCCAAACGCAGGGCTTACAACAGTCTATAAACGCAGGGTGCACATGCCCTCCGTGCTATCTGACGCGTCGGCAGTGTCTGTGCACCAACTTCTCATCCGCGAGCAGTGGAACAATGAAACGCGGGTCTGCACGCCTGGAAGATACCATTACATCCGATTTGACCTCGGAATGCATTCGCTTCTTTGTTCACATTAGGTAATATTCTTCCCGTTTAAGGCAGTCATTCAAAAGAAGGTCTTCTCTTCTGAAAAAGATAGAGGGATTTTTGGCACCATCGAATTATTACTACCCCAAAATCACAAAACAATTCCTTTGCGTCGCCAACGCGATCCTTATCAGAATTCATGAAAACTGGTATACGAAGGTTATTGACATCCTAATCACGAATATGACATTCATGTCAATAACGACTAAAGCAGACAAACCAAAGATACTTGTACTATTAATTAATACATCAAGAAGAATAACCTCAGAACTTTAGATTATAATACACTGAGTAAGGAGACGAGAGCGCACATTGAATCAAGGAAGATCAAAATCGGACAGTTTCGCTGTAAGTAATTTCATAAGTGAACAGTGAGGACACAATGGGTAACTTATTGAGAAGACCGGTATAAAAAAAACCCTCCACAACCAGGGAAATCCGAGTGCTGTTACAAGTTGATTTTCCGTAGAGTAGCACACTGCTGCAGTAGCCGAAGCATATTTCGCATTTCTTGTTCAGACATTGTCAATAGAGCACTGTAACCAGAAACTGTAACATCTTATAAAAAAAGATGGCATTTGATGGGAACGCTTCTCAAGACACGAACGTTTCCTGAACGGCTTACAAATGGATATGCTGGTTTTGTATTAGATTCTCCGGAAAGTTCTCAGCGTTTTGAATGCTTCACTTTTAACGATCATAACTTTCTTGAAGGCAGTTGGCACGATAAATTTGTACTCGGCCCAAAATGCTATAGGGCGCTATACAGTGGGGGAAATGGCTAAAGAACTGAGTGAAACGGTCAAAATCCTGCGAAAAAAGAGCCTCCGTTCTCACTGTATTATTAGGTTGTTCGAAAAGTCCTACGACACTTTGACCAATTTTTCGGACTAAATTTTCAGTCACTAAAAGACATCTCCAATCTACAAAGTAATCACCACTAAGGACTAGGACTAGTGCCCTTCTTTCGCACAGCTTCTCATTTCCTTTCTTATAGAACTACGGCCACTATGATAAGAAGAATAGGCGGACTTCATTTTTGAGTAGACGTCGATTTTCGGAATTTTTGCCTTCTTAAGGATGCGGTAGGGATCAAAAATGGTAGTAGTTAGAGACTGCTGACTTTGATGAATAAGCTGGGTATGGTCGCATTCTCAG